ATAAATTGGAAATTTGCCAAATAATGTTGTGAAAGTAGATTATTTTCTTTTCATATTTATTATTGATTAAATGACATACTGTAGAAGCACTCATTTTCATAAGGATAAAAGTTGTTGATTCCTCCTCTTAAAATGTTTCGTGGGCAGTAAATTTCTTTGTTTCGATGGTAACCCTATTCACTTTATAGTCATATGAAATTTTGTGTGGGATTTAATTTTGTCGGTAATTGTTAACAGCGAAATAAATTAAATTTAATCCCCAACGAATATAACTGCTTTTACTGTATAGCTGTTTCAGATGAGAGGAAAAAAACTTTGATGACATTAATTTCAGAGCAAGATCTATCATAATCAAAGCAGCTTAGCGCATAAAAGTGTAGTAAATTAATGATACTGTAAACCAACTTTTATTTGCGTGCGAAAAATATTCGCAAGTTTCGCGACCTTCATTTACTCGCGAATATTAATCGCTGCGAACCATTTATTTTGTTTTGTATTTGTAGAGAATGTTTCCAGAGTTGAAAAAGTAGTCAGAAAATGCATATTTCTGCAGTTTTCGACACGCTATTGGATGATTTTAGTCACTGGAACCATCCGAGCTCATTTTCGTTGGTCAACCCGGAAGTAGTAAGAAAAAGCTTTGAAGGGATCGGCACGAAATTGGAATGATTTTAGTCATTGGAGACGTCCAATATTATTTTTCATCGAACTTCACTTCTGGTCAAAGCGGAAGAAGTTATACTGTTAGTGGCTTCTTTTTAAAAATATCTCTTGCAATTGAATGTTTACAGTCCCTGGAGACGTTTCACATCATTATAAGTTGAATGTTCTTCAGAGCTGTGTTTTTTACATACTTATTTGCATTTTACCCTTCATTTTTTTTCCCCTATCGAATAGGACGGAAAACCTGCTTGTTGCTCAAGCAACGAGCTTTGCTCTAGTTTTTTTGTTTGTTTGTTTGTTTTTTCTTACTTATTTTGTGCACGCGATTTCTCGAAAATGGATCCAAGGATTTCTGTGAAATTTTTTAGACTTATGTATCATTAATTTAACCAAATGCTTTTTTTCTGTATTGATGACGTTACTTCCGGTTCGGAGATATTGTCAATTTAATGATTTTTGAGATGTCGAGTTGTATGCAGATTTTCTCAAAAACGGCTCAGTCGCCTGCGTGGCGCAGTGGTTAGAGCGTCTGCTCTAGAGTCGCGAAGTAAGGACTTGATCCTTATGTCGCGGGCTCGAATCCCACTGTGGTACGTGAAGACCGGTCCTTCGGATGAGACCGTATAAACCGAGGTCCCGTGTCGCAGTAGGTGCTGGCACGAAAAAGACCCCTCACTGCTCATTGGCCGTAAGTGCCGAGTATAGGACAAAATTTGCAGCTCTCCACCGGCAAGTGGTGGCGTCTCCATATGAGTGAAAAATTCTCGAGAGGGACGTTTAACAACATACAAACAAACAAAACAAACATAAACGACTCAAGATAGAAAGATAAAACTTTCAGGTACGGTAAACCCCAGTCGATAGATATGCGTATGGTATTTCATTTCTACCAGAAATACCGCACATCGGCGCTTGCTATGGTCCGATAAAAGGCATATAGGAAATTTCAAAATTTTTAACGCTTTTTCTATAATATCTCCTTACCTGTAAATAATTTGGAATAACACGTAGAACAGAATTTGTTCAAAACTTCCAAGATCTTTTTAACCGTCACAGTAGCTCAGTCGGTAGAGCGCTCGCTCCGTGATCGGGAGTTCGTGTGTTCGAATAACGGCCGCGACTGACCTAAGTTGAGAAAAAAATAGCTAGAAACTGTTCCTTCGCCAAGGCTCGGCACTTTGAAGTGAAAATTGCGGGTCTTTGGGATGAGACATTAAAAACCGAGGCTCGTGTCACGGTATGCATTCGCACGGTAAAGAACCCTCACTAGTCAATGGCCTGAGTGCCGAGTAAAGGTCTAAATTTGATGCCCTTCAGCGGTATATGGTAACGTATCCATATGAGTGAAATTCTCTAACGGGACGTTAAACAATGTACAATCAGATCTTATATTCGATAGGATTAAAAAAGGTCTGGCCTTTCAATTGAGGGGTCTAGAGGGACCAAAATTTTTTCATCGATAAGTCAATAATTATTGAGAATTTGTAATACATTATTGAAGCAAAATTGTTCAAATTAAGCAGAAGCAGTTGCTGAGATCATCAATAGTCATCTATTGACGTCACTTCTGGTAAAACCGGATGTAGTCAGAAGATGCATATTTTGGCAGTTTTCGACACTTTATTCGGTACTTCAAGTCACCAGAAGCATCCAACCATATATTTTGTCGATCGACGTCACTTGAAATTCATACATTTCACTCTTTATGTGTAATATATTTTGAAGAATTGATACGAATAAATACTTTTTTCATTCTAAATTGTTTTACCTTTTATCAATCAAACTTTTCTAATCTAAGATCTTTATAGATATCTAACGGAAGATCTACTCGTTGCTCGCAACGAGATCTTATCTAGTTATTATTAATTTTGCTTTTTTTTTTCACCTTTTCAAATCGCGATATCCCAAAAATTATTCAATAATTTTCAGTCAAATTTTAGGGATAATGTGTTTTTGCCATTTTGAAATATAAAAGAAGTTTCGAAAAATTTACTCCCGTTGAGGAATTATTACAATCTATCAATTTTTCCACTAGAACCTTGTCCGCGAATGTTCTCAAAAACTCTTACAGATAGCAGTCCACAACTTTCAGGTATGGTAGAAGGTGATCTGTAGATGTGTGAAAAAAAAATTTTAAAAAGTTATTTTTTAAAACATTTTTGGTTTTCATAATTTTGTTATGATATTAATAGAGTTTATAGAAGATAGTCTTATCAGAATGCTAAATGTGTAATTTGTTTAAAAATTATCAACCCATGCTCTAGATATTTATCATTTTTCACTTTAAAGCGATAGAACTCAAAAGCATAATGGTTAAATTGTTGGATTTTCACGCGGGCAATCCAGTTTCAATCCCCAGAATATCCATTCTTTTATCACTTTTTCACCTCAAATATATTTTTGTCTTTAAAATGATAACTCGTATTTTTCAATTCCAATTTTTCGACATTTTCACAATATAAATGTTTAATTATATTTTATGTATGAAGTTGTTAAAGGGAATGCACAACGTAACAAATGTTGTGTTATGAGTGAGGAATCAAGTTCTCTGATGACGGAGAAGAGACGGAAGACCTTCTTGTTGCCATGGTAATCAGGTTTCTAATTATTCTTATTTTTCATCCTAGGTACCTCTCGTAAACTACACATCTAATTGAGGTGAAACATTCATGGGATTAATAGGTATGTTGTGGAGATGTGCTGAACGGAGGTCATTTTGCGCGCACCTGCATTCATTTGCGTGCAATGTGTAAAATAACCAATAAACTTGACGTTTCCGTAATTTTTATATTGTTTGATGAAATGCTTCCATACTATGAATATAAATATATATTAACAGTTTAAATAAGATGGCATGATCCTTATAAACATAAATGCACGTGCGCGCGTGCAATATGTAAAATAGCCAATATACTTGATATAGCCGTAATTTTTATATTTTTTTAATGAATTTTTTTTTTGAAAGTCGAAATTTAAAGACATTTTAAAAGTGCCGACAAGATGACATGGTCAATATGCAAATGCATTCACGTGTGTGTGTGCATGCAATGAGTAAAATGAACGATATACATGATATAACCGTAACTTTTACTTTTTTTATGAAATACTCTGATACTCAGAAGATGAAGATATATTATTAATGTAGACAGGATGACGTGGTTAGTATGCACATACATGAACCTGCGCGTGTGCAATGCATAAAATGATCAATATACTTTATAAAGGCGTAACCTTTATAATTTTTATGATTTTTTTATACTCCGAATATAAAGATATGTTGTAGTTTAGACAACACAATACGATCATCATGCATGCACATTCACACGCAAGAAAAGCGTTAAATGACTAATATAGTTGATATCACTGTAATTTTTAGTTTTTAAAATGAAATTCTTTGATACTGTAAATATTAATATATATTAATAGTGTAGACAAGATAACATGTTTTTCATGTGAATGCATGCACTTGCATTAGTGTAATGCATGAAATATGAAGATAACGAATAGTATTAAATTTCAAAAAACCAATGAAACGATAGAAGTTTTGAGCAGAGCAAACACGGACCTCAAAATTTAGAGATGGGATTTTGTGTCATGTGTCATGGAGGAGTGAGCAAATCCTGCCGAGCGGTCACACCCGCTGGTGCTCCTTGTCACTTTCGGGAAAAATCCATAGACACTTTACTGTATAAATAATGGCCTAACCGTCAGTCAGCATATGACTCAATGATAGGTTGTATATATGTGCTGACAAGGTCAATGTATCGACCATAAAACTTGCCAAATTATGACTTCAAACGAGACTGTGTATATTCTTGTTTCATCAACTTGTTTGTCACAAGCTTGCCTCGTTTTAGAAATTATTCAAACGTAGAGCATGCTTTTGGGTATCGAAGTAAGTGAGAGATATAAAACCCATATGCAGGTGATAAAGGTTTGCTACATAAGTAAGGGAAGTTGACTATTGAAAAGTTGAAGCCATCACGTTTATCATAGAGCTTTGTTGTTATGTTATAAAAGGACCAATACACTTAGTATAGCCATAATTTTTATACTTTTTGATAAAATACTTTGATAGTTACATGTTGAATATAAAGACGTACAAATAGTGTAGACAAAATAACATAGTATGCATTCACATGCACGTGCTGTTAGTGAAAAGACAAGTTTACTTAATATAATGGATCGTACATGGAATAAGGCACCCAAAGGGAGTTGAGGAGCGTTGGGGAACATCTGTAACGGCCCACGTTACAATTTAAACTCGTTTCAATTGTTCGTATTCACATATCTATCAAACCGCATGTGTTTTCGATTCCCAATAAGATATATTTCCATATAAGTAAAATCCACGAGCGTCAAACAAACTGCTGGGGTGTTCATGATAAGGTAAGGTAATTTAGATCTTGTTTTAATATGAAATGGATTCATGCATGAATGGTGTCAAATCATTTCGTTATTAAGCTCCTTAATGAAAGTAAAATTAAAATTATATAAAATCTCATTTTAAAATAAAATACCATTCCTTGTTTTTTTTTTTTTATCTATAATCAGACAAATATTACAAACATTTAAAATTAAGAGGCGTTAATTCCCTTTATCAAAATATTGATTAAAGACTTATGTACATGTAAATACTTGTAAGCATATTTATTTTATATTGTGTCCAGGAATATTGAAAAGTTTTGAAAGTTCTGCCTGGCCATTTCTTTCAAAAATAAAAAAAAAATCTCAGTTTTTGCATTTTTGATAAATTTCCTTTTAACATCTTTGCAAGTCCAATCTTTGTCATAAAAACAATTCAGATGAACAACCCTACTTCAAATTAAACTTTGGCTGAAAAGAGAAATTGGAAATCAGGTATTTATCTGAAAATTTAAGGCACATGAGAAACTTTCTAGATGATAATTCAAAACTGATATGATTTATTGTTCAATTATTATTGTTTAACTCCGAGTCGGCAATTTTTCAGCCATATTTTGGCAAACAAATTGAGTGCATATGACCGTTTTGGAAGATTTTGGTTTCTCTGGCGGCCCCAGTGAGCATACTTTCTCGAAAACCAGAGAAACGATCTTTTTCGTGCCAAATGGGGTTGTTATCCTTGACACGGGGCACCATTTAACGTCCCAACCGACGGACTCAAAAGTTACATATATGTAATCAGTTAAAATATAGACAAAATTACTTAGTTATACTATTCTAGATTTTACTGTAACAATCAGTTTCATGTAAAAATTCTAAAATTATAAACATTCACATTTTTAAAAAGCTAATGCATCGTTCGCACATCATTTAAAAATCTACTTCAAACAGGAAAAAAATCGGTACATTCTAAAAGATTATGATTGAAAGTTAACAGACATTTACAAGATGTACATTCTGGCTTCAATTCTCGAGTAAATAAATATTCATATATTATTTTTGAATGACCAATACGTATTCGTGAAATAATCACTTCGTCCTGACGTTTCAAACCGAAGTAAATTGATTTGTTAACTTTGTTTTCTTAGCATAAGGTTTACTTGTATCACAAAATAACCAATAAATTTGCCAGAGTGAATTTACAAAAAAGTTTAACAAAATATGTCAGATCAGTTTATGGAATTTTGAAAGAAAAAGTAACGTCATACTTAAGCGCCATTTTTGCAACACTATCATCTTTAATGCTTCCAGGGATGCCAATGTGACTTTAAGTCCAACAAAAGTCTTCTATAGTTTACCTTGTGGAGTAAAATGATAATACTGAATTAATATATATAAAATGTATGGTTCAATGTTCATATTTTTTATCGATTGTAATTAAGCAAGAGAGCGAGTCCAAAATTATTGTAAAAATGTGGTCAGTAGAAGATTTAGTATATTCAAATACATGGCTTTTGCTTCTGCTGTAAAAAATAGGAGCTCCGTCAGGAAGGCATGTAGAAAAAAAAACACGTTTGTTAACCAATGCAGCTGCTGCCACTTTCTTTTTGTCTTTGAATCATCTTTATAAGATCGACTTGAGAATTCTTAGAATGTCTTATTTCGGCTGATTTCTGTTTAAAAACAAGAGAATTTCTCTCTGGTTTCTTAAATTCAGTTAAAGATGTATCTACACTTCGTTTAATTAATTTCCATGGTGGTATTTCAAAATAGATTGTGGGTTTTATATCTAAAGGTATTTCAGAATCTCCATTATGTTTCTAGATCATAGTCCAATAAATTTTATACATGATTCAAATCATCATATTGCGGAAAAAAACGCATCCGTATGCAGGGTATTCAGTATTTGCTTTTGATTTTAGAATATATTGTATATAAGGTGAGTTTTATCCTTCTTAAGTCAAGAGGTGGCTCATTTGCCTCGACATGTAAGCTGTCTAGAGAAGTACGAAAAGCTCCTAAACAAAGTCGAAGGCCTTGATGGTAGTAGATTGCATCAGGTTTTTTTTATAAAAGTCCTTGCTGATCCATACACAATGCAGCCATAGTCTAATTTTGATATTACAAGAGAGCTTTAGTTTATTATTATGAAAAGTATTTTTATCCCCCCCCCCCCCCCCCCACATTTTGAAATTGCCTTAACTTTAATTACATCTAGTGCTTTTGTACATTTTTCTTTCAGCATTTTAATATGCGACATAAAAGAAAGTGTATTATCAAAGAAAACACCTAAAAATATTAAAATTGAAAGGATTTACAATGCTAGTATAATGAAAGTATGACTAGGGGATAGGGTCGGGTATTCTACAGAAATTATAATCAGATGATTGCAAGAAGCCAATTTGGTCACAATGCAGACATAATGCTAAGATGAGTTACTTTGGTCCTGCTGTTAGTCGGAAGAATTTGAAAAGCTTGTTCCCCACTTCATTTCCATAAAAAAATATTACCCTTTTTGGTGGCCCCATCCTAGCCTTCAGGGAATATGACATAACCGAAATTGATCCACATAACATGGGGATGCTTCAAGATCAATATGACTTACTTGGTCCTGCAGTTATGAAGAAAGTTTTAAAAATGCTTCAAAAAATGCATATTGTAAAATTTTATACCTAATTTTACATCAACACCAGCCGCCCTCGTGGCACAAAGGTTAGAGCGTCTGCTCTAGAGTCGCGGAGTAAGAAGTTGATCCTTACGTCGCGAGTTCGAATCCCACTGCGGGACGTGAAGACCGGTCCTTCGGATGAGACCGTATAAACCGAGGTCCCGTGTCGCAGTAGGTGCTGGTACGAAAAAGATCCCTCACTGCTCAATGGCCCTGAGTGCCGAGTATAAGTCAAAATTTGTAGCCCTCCACCGGCAAGATGACTAAATATGAACCTCTTGCTCTATTAAGGATTATTTTGAAAGCTTTTTTAATCAAAAAAATTTCATGTAAAAATTTGATTCCCAGTTGTTGCCAAACCCTACCCAAGTGTTGTGACTTGGACAAATTTGAATCTTTACTACCTGAGGATTCTTGTTCATTTATATAAATAATCATGACTAAGCTGTAATTGGGAAGAAGTGAAAAGAAAAGCATTTCTGAGCGTACGTGAGGTAAGAACTTCCCGTATTGTTTGACAAAATCTGTGGATAGAATGCTGCTACATGTAGTTCCCATACCTCAAATAGAGGCTCATCATGGGCTACAATTGAAATGAGGCATAATGTGGGAGTTTACAATCTTATATTTAATACATGGTTAAAATATGAAACTTAACCTGAAATAGTTATATCCGCATGAAATAGAATTTATGAGTTGTATTTCTCATACTTATGGATTTATTAACGAATTCTATGTTCAGGAACTGTTCTCCACATCACTACCCAGCCTATTTTTGGGGTCATATTTGTTTAACAAACAGATTTACACAGTTTTCTCGGCTTATGTTGTACATGAGGAGTCAAAAAATGTTGACCGATTTGCGTAATTGTGTATAAAAGTTAAATGGCTAATTTACACTTTAACTCATATACTGTTAGATAAAAATATATAGAAATAATAATAAAATTCCACCTAATTGTTTTTCTCAATGAAGTAAAAAGGTTTGTATATAAATATTAGAGGAAATACTATTTTTTTATGATAATAGATGATAATATTTATAAGCACATTCTGTTCACATTTAAGTTTACAGTATTATATTGTTTTTTATTGATAATAAAATTATTCTTGATCAAATATCCTATCACTTTTTTTAGCTTTGTCAATAGTACATCCAGGAACAAAATGACTTCTGCCCGGAGTTTGATCTTCCTTTTGACTGTGGCGATGATGTTCAATTTCAGTCATTCGAGACATTGTAGAGGTGAGAAATTTAATCGTTCTTTACAAAACGACAAAATTGAGGCAAGTTGCCTTACAATGACTTTCGTATAACAGATTCACAGCACAACCATGCACTTTTAGTGTGTACCTGCGTAAAGCGAAGTCATACATTCGTGTGCCCTTTTGAAATCTGTTCTTCTCTGTCATCGTGTGCCGATCGTAAATTTCTGAATATTTAAATTTTCTTTTCTAAAAATGCCGAATAATTTCAACAAATTTTATCATTTTGGAGGACAAAGATGTAATCATTTTGTCCAAAAAACGCGAACGGAAGTAAATTTTAAAAAAGTGAATGGCATCCCTAGAGATATCATGATGCATCTTTCCTGAAAAAAAAAATCTTTCAAATTGAACTCGCACAGCTGAGATATCGCCTGTACTATGAAAAAAAAAACAAAAAAAAGAAAACCTAGAAACCTTGTTGCCATGGCAAGAAGAAAGTCTTCCGTCCTTTCTCCTTATTCCTTATTACAAATGGATATGTATTACCTTGTCCAATCCTTTTAACTTATTCATACATGAAATATACTAAAACATAAATTGTGAAATCACATAACTCAAAGGGAAAAAAAAATACCATATATCATTTCAAGAATAGAACCTTATATTTCAGCTGAAAAAAACTCTGACTTTCTGGAGATTGAGGCCGGTTTGCCCGCGTGAAAATCCAACACAGTTACCATAACTCTAATAAGACAATCATTTCAAATTGGAAAATGACGAATATCTAGAGTTTGGATATTTGTATTTTAAAACAAATTGAGTCTCTATTAACCCTACAAATATATCAAAGAGAAATATTTTAAAACGAAAGGGTTGAAAAATCCGACCATTAAATTCGCTTCCAGTAGCGACCAGAAGTCCTGACGGCGCACGAAAAGGTGATTCCGGTCCTCACATTTAGAGGTCATGTTATGTCATCTCCAACAAGTCTCCAATTCAAATCTTTAGCCATTCTTAAGATCTTTAGCCATTCTTAAGTACTTCATTTCAAAATCAGAAAACTGTAAATAACTTGGAACCGGAAGTGAATATTTCCAAATTTCTTTCAAATGTAACAATGACCTATTATAGCGCATTTTCACTGAGAGTTTGACGGAAAACCACTATAAAGTTCTCCAAATATCGCGTGCACAAAATTTGTCTAAATAATAATAATAAGACGAAGAAAAACAGTAGAAACACTATAAGATCTTCCCTGAAGACGAAAGACCTTAACTTAATGAGATCTCGTTGCGAGCAACGAGTAGTTCCCCCTCCAATTTTTCGATAACATGAGATGTGATTTTGATTGAAATATTCCTTAATAGATAATAATATAATTTTTTTCCCCTTTACATTTCACTCTGACGATTCATTTAACATGATCTTTCGTTCAATATTACTTTTAAAAATGGATACAATTCTGAGAAATAAATATAGAGAGGGAAAGAAGACGGCTTTTAAAGAATTTATGCATTTTCTCTTTATGATTATTAGAGCCTCGCCCTAACTCTAGAACCATTGGCCCTGGGGACACAAATTTCACAATTTGGAAAGAGGCACCTTTTCGTATCATGACCATACACTTAATTTGTTTATACCCAGGAGCAGAAATGAAAATTGGCAAAGAATTAATGCATAATCAAAAGAGCCCCGTCCTAAAACAAGACCCTTGACCCAGGGGCCATGAAATCACTATTTTGGAAGAGGCATTCTTGCTCATTATAACTATGCCCTTAGTTTGTTTGCTTAATACCAAGGAGCATAGAAGATTTTCTAAAAAATAATGCACCTTTACTATATGATCTATATAGCCTCGCGCTACCACCTGAACCCTTGACCATGGAGCTACAAATTTCTCAATTTGGAAGAGGAACTCTTGATCATCATAACCATGCACTTAATTTATCTGTTAAGTACCCAGGAGCTGATAAGATTTTCAAATAATTAATGCATTTTCACTGTATAGTAAGTAGAGCCTCGCCTTACCACCAGTGCCCCCGAAACAGGGGCCATGAATCTCAAAATTCTGCAAGAGAAACTTTTGCTCATCGTAACTATGTACTTTGTTTAATAGACAGGAGCAGAGAATATTTTCAAAGAATTAATGCACTTTCACTATATAATCAATAGAGCCCCCCCCCCCCTTACAGCATAACCACTGACCCTGGGGCCACAACTTTCACAATTTTGGAAGAGGCACTTTTGATCATCATAACAATTCACCTAGTTTATCTGCTTTATATACAGGAGGAGAATAGAAGTTTTTTTTTTTTAAAGAATTTATGCATTTTCACTATATGATCATTAGAGCCTCCAGAACCCATGACCCTAGAGCTATGATTTTCATAATTTAGGTAAAGGGCTTAATGCTTATTACGATCATGCCAAGTTTGCTTGCTGTCCAGGAGTAAAAAAGACGATTTAAAAAAAAAATCTATTAATTTTGGTGGTTTTAGCCGCACCCCTCAGGTCCCAATGGGGCAGGGACCATGAAATTCACAATTTTTGTTTCCCTTTACTCATAGATGCTTTGATATAATTGAAATTAGTTCAACAGTTCCATAGAAGAAGCTGAAAATGTTCAAATATTAACGGACGACGGATGCCAACGGACGAAAACAGATAGCAATAGGTCACCTGAGTGAGGTGACCTAAAAATCGACATTATTGCTTTAATAATGTCTAACATTATATTGACCATTAAAAAGATAGAGATTAAGGACATTTGGCCCCTCTAGGCCCTCAATTTGAAGGGACAGTCCTTTTTTCTTGATATCAAATGAAAGCTCTTCTAATTTTGAACACTATGTAAGTATTTATTCAAAAATTATTTAAAAATTTTCTTTCGTGAGATATAGAAAAGAAATATTTAGGGGCCAGCCCTTCAAGCCCTTAATTGGGCCATTTTCCAAAAATTTAAAGGTTGCCTATCGTTGGTACATTTTTCTGGGTATCTTTAGTTCAATGTTGCTTCTCAAAATATTTCCCTTTTATAAGATTTAGCATACTGGCCCTTTGTCGCACTTAAATTCGTAAAATATGGTCAAAATTTTAAACTAAATATATGATTGTAGATTGTTTAGAGAAACATTTTTGCTTCAGTAAACTATAACAAAATATTGATTCTTAAAAAGTTATGGATTAAAGAATCTTGGTTCCTCTGGATCCCTAATTGGAGGGACTAGCCAATTTTCCTTAATATCAAATGAAAGCTCTTTTCATTCTACACAACTATTTTCTGTGCTTTAACAAATGTTTAATGGTCTAAAGATATGAAGTAAATATATCCGGTACCAATTTTGATGCACCAGATGCGCATATCGACAAATTATGTCTCTTCAGTGATGCTCAGACCGAGACGTTGGAAATCCAAAATATTTGGAAAAAAAGACTTTGAAGAGCTGAGAAAAGGTTCCAAATACGTCGAAGGATCAGAACTTTGCATGAAGGAGATAATCATTAATTTTGAAATAAATTTTTAAATTTTACCACAGCAATTACATATATATTCGTATTTTCAAGCTAATACCGAAGTACTAGGTTACTGGGCTGTAGAGACCATCGATCACTTACAGTCCACCAGCAGAGGCCTCGACACAGGGATCATAATGTAAATCTTATACGTTACCAATTTTGATGCACCAGATGCGCATTTCGACAATTTATGTCTCTTCAGTGATGCTCAAGCCGAAATGTTGGAAATCCAAAATATTTAAATAAAAAAGACTTGGAAGGGCTGGAAAAAAGGTGCCAAAGACTGGAGCCAAAAACGTCGAAGGATCAGAGATATGACTCTATTTCTTTGTATGTATCTATGTGTATTTGTGTGACTCTGTATTTTAACCTATACTCGGCACATCGGGCCATTGAGCAGTTAGGAAATTTTTCGTGCTAGCACCTTCTGCGACACGGTTAATAGGTCTCATCCGAAGGACCGTTCTCCACGTCCCACAGTGTGATTAGAACCTGCGACGTAAGGATCAACTCCTTACTCGGCGACTCTAGAGTAAACTCTCTAACCACTACGCCGCGTAGGCGACTAATTAGAGTTATTGACTACATATTGAGGACAATTACATTTTCTGTTCAGACTTGTCACTTGATTTGGGTCCAAATTACACATTATTGTAGCACATATACTTGCAGAATTCAGGTCATCTATAATTTTCAATACCGGTAGTGCAAGGGCATAACCAAGTTAATTTTTTTCCTGGTCAACTGCATTCAATATAGAAGTAATACATTCTCAAGATCTCAGCAGGATAGCAGCATTTTTCAAACAGTATAGCTAAATATTTCCTGCGTTTATGTGTAAAAATTTACTGTGATCCATTGAGGGTATGCTATTGATTTATCATTTTTATCCATTTATTAAAACCTTTACATAACCTTCCAATGTACCTGCATACAAAAATAGAACATTATTAGTTAACTAGGAAAACGGAAAATATATAAATTAAATCATTAAAAAGATATTCCATCCAAGTTAATTGCTTCTTAAATGTCTGCAAATAATATTTTATTTAATTATAAGCATACATATATACACTTTTCGTTCTGAAAATATAACTTGATCCGCCTCTCACTGCATACAAACTGCATGTTGTTCTACGGAATGACATCACATAGATAAGTGCAATGCGATCAGTGATTTATTTATACCTTTCTATGTGGGATTTAACTAATGATAAATAGCATATATAGTAAGATTTGATGCTCTCCAACAGTTTAAAATCGCAAATCATTTCATTTTGTTGTTTTTTCAAAGAATTGGTTTTTAATGATGTCATAGTTAAGATTCCCGTTAAAATTTTCTCCCCCTCGTTTTTGTAGCCTTAACTTGCTGTGTGTATTAGAGTCAGGTGACCCTTAAGGCCCTTGAGCATCTTGATTTTCAAATATGTCTTTTTGGACCCAAATTGGAAATAAAAGTTTTGAAGAAAATTTCTGGTTCTTAATATTCATATCAAATCATTTTGATTTGAGGAGGAGCTTTTTCAGAACAATGGTGATACTCATTTAATTAAAAAATTTACTGATAAATAATAAATATGAGAGAGAGGGAGAGAGAGAGGTGGGTTTATGTATGTAACATCTTTTTCTGTTACACGTACTTTAAATACTTCATAGATCGTGCTATCTGCAACGCCTTTAGGGAAAATTATTAAAGAATTGCCACACCTTCTTTTAGCAAGTTTGTGTGAATTAATGTCATCAGAATATACAAGAACATCGATGTAGTCCATGTTTTAAATAATCTCCGACGAATGCAGAGAGTCTATATATATATATATATATATATATATATATATATATATATATATATATATATATATATATATATATATATATTTGCTACACACTTTTCAATTCCTTGTATAGTTTTCGAAAAAAAAATCATTTATATTGATGCTTTCTTTGGAAATCTATAGTAATGGTAACATTTATCATCATAGGTGTCAATTTTATGTTTAGTTTCAGTATTTCTAAATTACGTGTTTACATGTACTACTGAGAGAGTGAAAGAAAATGTCTGACACCAAGTTATGATCCAATACCTGTAGATTGGTTTAGTAAACCAATCACCTTCATTTCTTAATTATGTATACGAAGAGAGAATGAACAGCCTTGGTTAGCTGCAGATCTGTAGCTAAGCCTGGTCTGTGTTTCTAAAGCGATTAAGCTAAAACTTAAAATTTTGTGGAAACACATGTTATGTAATTTGGTAAGTAAACGAAAAATTTGATCATTGCAGGTTCTTCTTCCAGATGTCCGCCTGGCTGGCATCGCCATGGGAACTCTTGCTACATGTTCTCAAAGAACACTCTACCCTGGAATCAGGCCTTGGTATCTTGTTCTTATATTAATTTTATACAGGCTTTGCATGTATTTTCAAGAACCCAAACCATTTTTAGACACTCGCTAAAGATTGATGTATGCTTTTAACTTCCCATTCGAGAATTTTTCTCTCATATAGAAGCGATGACTGCTTTAGGTGAAGTGAAGCTGCAATAATATAGCCCTCTCCACTTTTTCTTCTTTTTTTTTTGAGGTGGGGAAGGGGGTGGGTTACAACTCCTTAGGGTCTCTGTAATGGTGCAAGTGCGAGTGTGATTCACTACCGCACAGATTTTTTTTTTAAAAGACTTTTATTAAGATTTCTTACCGTAACACCAAAAAGACAAATTGACCCAAAAATATCAAGAATAGTCCATATTTCGGTTATTTTTCATGTATTTCAGTATCACAACTTGATTTTCTCCTCCAAGTGTACTGCCCTTGATCGATTTTTTTTATTTTGAGACAGCCAATGAGAATTCCGGAGCGGATCTATACAGTAATTCCCTTCTTTTAAGCATAAATTCCCGTTTTTTTTGAAAAAAAATCCACCTCAAATGGATTTATTAATCGATATTTGTTGACACTATACAAAACAATCATTTATCAGCACTGACATTTACTTTATCAAGACTTTCTGGGCAAATTTCAACCAAGCTTTTCACAAAGTATCCTTGGATTAAGGGAATTCAACTTTGTTCAAATGAAGGGCCACGCCTTTTTCCAAGAGGAGATAATTATGATTTCGTGAAAAATTAATGGCATTATTTTAAGATTTTTCTTCTCAAGAACCACTGTGCTTGAAAACATGACAATTATGTGGAATCATTGTGAGGTAGTATTGAATCAAATTTATTCAAATTATGTCCTCCGGGGGTAGGGTGGGACCACAATGGGGGATCCAATTTTTTACATAGGAATACATAAGGAAATCTTTAAAAATCTTCCTCTCAAGAACAGCAAAGCCATGATTGATCATATTTATATGGAAACATCCTCAGGTAGTGTAGATTTAAGTTTGTTCAAATCATGACCCCGGGGGGTAGGGTGGCGCCTCAATGGGGAATCAAATTTTACATAGGAATACATTAGAAAATCTTTAAAAATCTTCTTCTCAAGAACAGCAAAACCATGATTGAGTGGTCATATTTATATGGAAGCATCCTCAGGTAGTGTAGATTCAAGTTTGTTCAAATCATGACCCCCTAGTGTAGGGCAGGGGCCACAATTGGTGATCAGATTTTTACATAGGAATAGGTAGAAAATTCTTTAAAATTCTTCACAAGAACAGCAAAGCCATGATTGGTCCTAATAATATAAAAGCATCCACAAGTAATGTAGATTTAATTTTTTTCAAATCATAACCCCCAGGGGAATGGAGGAGCAATAACAGGTGATCATATTTTAGAAAGGAATATGAAGTATATATTACTTAAAATGTTCATCCGAAGAACAGCAAAGACATTATGTATCATATTAATTCAAAAGCATCCTTAGGAAGATAGTGTACATTCAAGTTTGCTCAAATTATAATACCACCACCCACCACCCCCCAGAACACTTGTTCAGGTGAGCGATATGACCCTTGGGTATTTTTTATTATTATTATTTTGAGGTGATTAAAAAGAGCATTGAACGTTTTTTTCTTTTCTTTCTTTCTTTCTTTTTTTTTTCTTGGAAGGGGGGGGGGGGGGGGAGGGGAGAATAATGCTTTTAATAATAATTTTGAGTATATAATTTAACAGCATTAATTAATTAATTAAATTTTTTCAAACAAATGTATTTCCGTAAAATTCATTTGGAAAAAAAATCATTTCCTGACTTCCATTTTTTTTACTGCAGAAACAACTTTATTTTTTCTGATTAATTCTAAACTGCAATGGTATTTATTTTCAGACACTGAAGACCTATAACATGTTCACACATGTACATAAATATTCCACTTTTTTCAGTAACTGTCCATACCACAGGCACTTGTTTCGTATACGGGGCACCACAAGGTACCTAACTCAATTTCAGGCACTCTTTTTAAGGGGTCGTAGGGGGCCTGTAATAGGCCCAATTCCCAATGGTAAAAAGTAGGTGCTTTTCCCAATTTCATAAAAGAAAATTCTTAAGAGAATCAAAACAAACAAATATGGTTAAAAAATGGCTGAACTCATTAACGTTTATCAGGAATGGTGTTCAAAAAAAAAAAAATCTAAAAGGCATGCTCCAAAAACTGATTGACTGAATGTAAAATAAGTCAATAAATACCTTGCAAATGAAAAAAAAACTCTCTTATTTTAATTTATTAATAAATATATTAAAGATGATATTCTTCCCAATTTCAACCAAACGTCGCTATTTTACCCAAATGGAAAGGCCCAGGCCCTTGATTTTAAGACCTAAAAAAAAGCTCGTATTTTGTTCATATATCAATCATTAACCTACTTTAAAATTATATCGTTCGCTTTGAGAGACTTTTTTCTTGTCAAATAAATCCTTTCAGACGTCTCTGGTCGAAACGTCTTTAACTGAGTTAGGTACCTTGTGGTAAAAATGAGTAGGGGTGCCCCGTATACGAAACAAGTGCCTGTGGTCCAAACTAATAAAATTTTATTAGAGTTCTTTTTTTTTTTAATTTTAACATTCTCTCTGTTGAATGTTAACAAACAACAACAGGGAACCTGCAAATTTGGAGTATACAAAGGACTAGACTATCTTGTCACTCAGATCCCTTTACATGCGTGAGTGAGCAAAGCAGTTCCGGGGATTCCTGATACTGCTAAGTTTGCTATCTAGAGCAGTCCCACATTTTGAGAGAGCAGTCCCCGGGACTGCTTTCTGCGATTGCTTGGGTGTCAGGTTGAGTATGGTTGATAGTTTAGTTAGCAGCGATATGCATTGTGGGTCCAGGAGTAACTGCAGAAAAAAAATCGTTTGGATCAATATGCACAGTCCGAATTTCCTCTTCGCTCAGGTGTTGCTTTAAGAGCTCGCAATTAAAACCTCTACCTTACTCATCACACCTAAAATGTTATTTGCCATTAATCACTAAACCATTAAGCACTTAGTATGATTAAAAATGAATTACAAAATAAAAAAAAATCTATTAAAGCATTTTTAGAATAATAAATGTTCATTCAACATTCTGATAAAATTTTGAATCTTACAAGCATACATGTGTTAGTCTTGGTGCTGGTTTGGTCGCCGTTGAATCTCACAGGGAAGAGAAATTCTTACAAAATAGACTACGTCATGAATTTGGTGAGTAGGATATCATTTTTTCACTCGACACGTAGTCAATTTACTGATATCAAGGCAGAAATGTCAACCATACTAAAAATGATATGAAAAAGAAATTCAGTCGCATTTTCTCTTGAGGAAGAAATAAAATAAGACACGTAAATTCTCTTTGTCTATTACATAATTGCTAAGTAAAGTGTTTTGTTCCATCATCTTTCTTGTGAAAGAAAAACGTGTTTTTACAGCAAGTTTCATGTTTTGGCTTGGAGGATCAGATCAGTATCATGAACACTCTGTTTGGTATTGGATTGCAACTGAAAAAAATATAAACAGTGGCTACACAGACTGGCATCGTTCGGAACCCGATCACCCAGGTACTTTGTCACAGTCTTCTTTAAAAGTGTTTTAACACGCATTCTCTGTAAGCACCAAAAAATCAAGTGGTGTCTTGCTTCTGTCATTAACTCCTTGATTTTTACAGTATACCTCCTAATTATCCAGCAATGAAAACTAAAACTTTTTTACATTTTTCTTAATCATATCTATTTATAAATACATGTTCCTAAAATAGCATTGAAACCCCACTGATACATGTATTTATGTTCCCAAAACGAAGTCTGAATACATATTGTTTTACTCTGTTTCTAATTATTATTAAGGTTTTCTGTCTCAACTGAAGATCTTCTTCTATGTTTTATTTTCCTCTTTTATTATTTTTTCCCTTTTTTCTTACTGATTTTGTGCACGCGACTTCTCGAAAATGGCTCAATAGATTTTCAGGAAACTTTCAGGATAGATTATCTTAACATGATTTAAATGTATTTCTTTTCTTTTTACCGACGTCACTCATGGTTGCGATTTACGGGTAATTTTCTGTTGTTAAAATGGAATTTTGTCCTCCAGTTTTCTGAAAAACAGTTAAAGATTGAGTCTTGAAGTTTTCAAGGATCATAGATGGTGACTGTGACCCAAATGTTTAGTTTTTTTTGCCGTCACGTCAGTTGTCCGCCGTTAGCAGTTTGAAAATATGGAAATTTTTTTTTTCTCTCTTTGAGACGTTTTTAAGAGAGGAAATAGAGTGTTCAAAGTCAAGTCATTACAAAAACAACTTATTTTTGCAAAAACCGGAAGTTGCCCCCCAAAATAGTATTTTTTAGGTCACTTGAGTCAATTAGGTGACCTACTGCTATCCGTTTTCGTCTGTCTTCGTGCGTCGTCAGTCGTGCATTAACATTTGAACATTTTCAATTTCTTCTCTGGAACCGCTGAACCAATTTTAACCAATTTGGCATATAGAATCTCTGGATGAAGGGAAACAATATTTGTGAATTTCATCGTCCCTGCTCCCCTGGGGCCTGAGGGGAGGGGCTAAACCATCAAAATTAATGCAATCTTTAAAAATCTTCTTCTTTACTCCTGGACATCAAGCAGTCAAATGTTGGCATGAATGTAATAAGCATTGATTCCTGTACCAAAATTGTGAAATTCATGGCCTCATATTCAAGGGTTCTGGTGCTCGGATCATATAGTGAAAGTGCATTATTATGTTCCCCAAACGAAGTTTGGGAACATATTGTTTTTACTTTGTTTCTTATTATTATTATTATTATTCTTTTTTTTTACTTTCTTCTCCGGTACTTTTTTGTCCGGGAGTGTTCTCATAGAACCCGAATCCGATTGACATGAAACCTTTTTAGGGTTAATAGGCATGTTGTGTAGGTGTTCGGAACGAAGGTCATTTTGCGCGCACATGCATGCACGTGCAATGAGTGAAATGACTGATATACTTGATGACGCCGTAACGTTTATATTTCTTGATGAATTACTTTGAAACTCAAAATATAAAGATATATTAGAAGTCTAGACAAGACAACATGGTCAAATTAGCGTGAACTCACGCGCATGCACGTGCGCTCTTCTCTGATTGGCTGATACAAAAATCTCAATAATTTCCTTGTTTTTTGACAAAATTCTTTGAAATTTAGAATATAAGCATACATTATAAGGTGCTACAACATGTTATATAGGAAATTTCTTGACAACACGCGCATGCAGGTGTGCTGCAATCTGATTGGTTGAAACTTTAAATGTCTATAACTCCCTTGCTTTTCAACAAAACAGGATGAAATTTACGACATGTATAGGCACATAGAGCTCCTACATTATGATACTATCAAAATTGAATGCAAGGCCATGCATGCGCGTATGCTGAATTCTGATTGGCTAATACTTAAAGGGTTACATCTCTCTTATTTTTCAATGAGATTCTTTAATATTTCTTTAATATTTAACACAAATGTATGTATTGTGACACTATAAGAAAATTAATGTGAAAAATGTAGAAAACATGTGCAAGCACATGCACTGAAATTTGATTGGCTAATACCCATATGGCTATATCGGAGAAGTTTTCCAATGAAATACCCTTAAAAATAAAGTGTCCATCTATATTACAAAAGTATTGTCTAATTTATTGAAGGTTGTAGGGAATGGGGCATCATAAGGGACTGGGGAGCCGTTTGGGGAACATCTGTAACGGTTCCCGTTACAATTAGCACTAGTTTTCATTGAAAATCTTCTTCTCTGCTCCTTGGTATTAAACTAAGTACATAGTAATGATGAAGGAGACTGCCTCTTTCCAAAATTGTGAATTCAATGGCCCCTGGTTCAGGTGTTAGGGCGGGGCTCAATGATTATATAGTGAAAATGCATGAAATATTTAAATATCTTGAAGTTCTCTGCTCCTGGCTTTTAAACAAGTAATGATGTACATAGTTATGATGAGCAAGGCTGACTCTTCCAAAATTGTAAACTTCATTACCTCTGGATCAGGGGTTCTGGTGTTAGGGCGGGCATTATTGATTATACGTGAAATATGCATTAATTTTTTGTAATATCTTCTTCCCTGCTCCTGTTTATTAACCAAAGTATTATGATGAACAAGACGGCATCTTCCAAAATTTTGAATTTTATGGTCCCTGGGTCAGGGGTTCTGGTGTATTGGCGGGGCTCTATTGATCTATAGTGAAAATGCATTAATTCTTTGAAAATCATCTTCTCTGTTCGTGGGCGTTATTTAAACAAAGTAAGTACATGGTTAGTATAAGCAAGGATGCCTCTTCCAAAATTTAGAAATTCATGGCCCCAGGGTCAAGGGTTCTGGTGAAAGGGGGTAGGGCCTCTTTTGATTGTATAGTAATATAGCATAATTTCTTTGAAAATATTCGTTTCTGCTACTGGTAATAAAGCAAAGAAATTAAATGTATAGTTATGATGAGCAAGAGTGTCTATTCCAGAATTGTGAGTTTCATGGTCCCTGGGTAAGATGTTCTGGTGTAAGGGTAGGGCTCTCTTAATAATATAGTGAAAATGCATTAATTATATTAAACAATCCTGTCTGCTCCTTAGTGTTGAGCAGATAAACAAAGTTCATATTGATAATGAACAAGGTAGCGTCTTGCAATTTTTTTTTTAAATTGTCGAAGGGTCAGGGGCTCTGCTATTTCTCATGGGGGGGGGGGGGGGGGGGTTGGCTCTATTGATAATTGATATATATCTTGAAAATGTGTTAATTCTTTGAAAACCATTATGATGACGAGGGTATCTCTTCCAAATTTGTGAATTTCATGACTTCTGGTCATGGGTTCTGGTATTAGGGTAGGATTATATTGAATCTTTACTAAAAATGCATTGTTTCTGTGAAATGCTCCTCTGTTTCTTGGCATATCGGAGCAAACAGAGTATAATTTTAATGAGCAAGGTTTTCTTTTTAAACATCTGGACCATTTGGTCAAGTGTTCTGGTTATGCGCAGGGCTCTATTAATTATTTATTTCACTGAGAGAAGTTATTCCCCTTTGCCATTCACTTTTGATAATTAAACACTGTAAATGAAGTATTTGAAAGGTAAATAGAATAAGAAAATTATGCAAGAATTTTTATTGTATTATACAAAAAGGACTTTCAGAGTTTTAATGATCAAGTAGACTTGTACTTATTAAATGAAAATAAAAAAGAGATAAAAATAACTCGTTTTATTAAATCTTTTCCGAAGTCCAAGAGAAGTCAATTTATGATGTTATAATTTTGGGTTAAAAAATAGTACTGAAGCACAAATAGTTTGGTTTATAGTGTGTATGGTGATAGTGATAAATTGGGGAATTGGAACTTAATTTATGAGTTGTTACTGAATACTAGCATAATTATTTTGTTGATCATGATCATCCTATTTCTCTTGCGTTTGGCAAACAATGATTCGTCAACCAGTTTATTTTATACTCTATGTATCTTTTAAATTGTTGTATTATACTCAGGTGACCGTTAAGGCCCTTGGGCCTCTTGTTCAATAAAACTTTCAGTGATGATTTCTACATGCTAAATGCGTCGTTTTGAGCACTTCTGGTCTTTCCGGAAGTGGATGAAAAAGAGCCAAAGTTATTTGAAATTGATATATCTCACTCTCTTATGTGATTCTAAATTATTATTTCAAAGGATCGATGTGTCTATTTCTTTCATCTATGGTTCTTCTACCTTCATTCTCAATCAAACTATCCCAGTCAAAATCTTATCTCATCAGATGTTGGACCTACTCGTTGCTCAAACGAGATCTCATCAAGTTCCTTTTTTTTCTTATTTCGTCTCCGGTACTTTTTTGTTCGCGAGTCTTCTCGGAAACTGCTCATCCAATTGAGATGAAACCTTTCAGGGTTAATAAGCATGTTGTGTAAATGTGCTTGTGGAAGATCACTTATAAGTATAGGCATATATTATGTTTCTACAATATGTTCCATATGAAAATTTTTGAAAACACAGACATGCACGTCTGCTGAAATTTGATTGGCTGAAACGTTAAATGGCTATAACTTCTTAAGTTTTCAACAAACAAGGAGGGAATTTAGAAAATAGATAGATATAATGGATTCATACTTTACACCACTTTCAAAACTGAATGCAAGGACATTTATGCATGTCTGCTAAAATCTGGTTAATACTGTATATGTTGTGTTAGTAAGGTGTCCGTCTGTCTGTAAACAATTTTTTTCAAAACGGTACTCCTCCTACAGTTTTAGTCTGATTTCAATGTAACTTGGTACTTAAGTAGACTATACTAAGATACATAATTCTGTGTATCGGTTTTTGATTTCAATGAACGGTGTTGCCATGGTTACTAAAAATAGGAATTTCTGTGAAATACTTTCAAAACGCTACTCCTCCTGCAGTTTTGGTCCCATTACAGTATAACTTGGCAAACAGGTACACTACACTAAGATACATAATTTTTAATATCAATTTTTGATTTCGATGAACGGTGTTGCCATGTTACTTAAAATAGAAATTTCCTTGAAATACCTTCAAAATGCTACTCCTCCTACAGT